GGGGAGTAGCAGGTTGGTAAACAGGCCTTTAGTCTTCAGTTCTACAGGCATCCTGACGCCCCCCCCCCACACACACACACCTTTGCACACTGACAAGCAACACCAGAAGGCACAGCTTTTGATGCACTATGTCTCTGAGCAGAATTTTTTTTTTTTTCTGATTTCAGTGCTTTTAGTGAACTGGCATTTTCAGTAAACTTTTTCTGATAGGTCAGGACCCCTTCTTTTAACCACATGTAAACTTCTCTGTTCAAACAAAATGAAAATAGAGCAGTTCTTTTCTTTTTTTTCTTCTTCACTTGAATATTTGTGTGGTTCCAGTTCTTCAGTTCATCTGCTGATGATACTGTTGACCTACTGGGACAGGGCCTCCCCAGGGCCTGTCGATGCTGTGTGTATCAGATTAACTACCATGACCAAATTTAATCACTAGGAATTGCATGATTAAATCTGAAATTGTATTTCTGAAATATTTTTTGAATGTTTTCACATCTTAAATATATGAATCCATATTCGTTAGACAGTGGAGACAATAGTCCTCTTTCCCACATTATAATGAAAATCATTAGAATATTAACACCAAAAATTCAAAATGTTTGAAGACATCTATATAGGTCACTGACATTTTCAGTTTTGATACAAATATTTAGTTTTATATCTGTCTCCCCCAAAGAGGTACTACATGAACCTGAATAATGACATTGTCATATTGAAATTTCATCGACCAACATGCCTCTAGGTACCGTGGAAATTTTACACTCCAGATTCATATTTAATTTTTGTTTCTTTGTGGTATATTATGGATCCCAAGGACAATTGCTGTTCATACCAAGCTGTCATGTAGATGAATAACAAGTCAGGTAAAGAACTGGCAATCAGTATTTAGTCAGTGACACAATAGTCTTCTTTTTAAATACGCTCATAGAAGATAAAAATTGTGATTTCTAACTTTGGGCTTGGTAGTATATGACTGAAATCCTAGTAATTTGGAGGTGAGGGAAGAGGATCAAGATCTTTAGGCTGATCTGAGCAAAATAGTAAGATTCAGAATAGCCTCAATGTACAGTTAGACCCTATCTCATATAAACAAAGCAACAAAAACAAAATAATAAAACCAATTTCTGAAACAATCATAAAAAGTTCTCTTGATTGCTTTCTTTTGTGATATAGTCAAGTATGGTAATAGAAATTTTTGTTTCATCATGCAGATAATTTAAACATTAAATATTTTTGTTTACCATGGGTGAATAAAGAAACTTCATAAAGTATACTAAAAAGTAAAGACCACAACTAGGTACTTACATATTGGCTATTACCACTGCAAGCTCTTATTGTGCCCTTGTTATTTCTCACATGAAGAGTTTGTTGAACCTACTTTTTGCTTACAGAGCTACTAAGAGGATAGAAGGTTTGATCAACGTTGTTTTAAGTTTATCAAAACGGTCCTCTCCTTGCTCCATTTCTTAGAATGAAGGATTTAATTTTATTTGAGTGGTTAAGTCATTTATTTGGAGCTTTATCTTAGCTGCTAACATGAAGAAAAGTAAATGCATAAAGCTCTCATTTTCCACAAGATATGGCAGGAAGCAGATAAAACTGACTTGAAGTACAAATAAAATAATAAATGTGCATAAATGTCATATGTCCTGATTAAATTAGTCAATATCAGATTTGATTTTTGTGGAAAATAGTTGATAAAATAATTTCTTAGAAGCTAAGGATTGATTTTAGGTGACTAGAACAAAAATTGAAAAAGGGAAGGATGCCCAAAACAGCAAAAATAAGGAGACATAATTATTAATTTGTTTCATTAACTTTGTGGCAACACAACCATGTGGACTCTGAGAGTGAGCAGAGATATAGCTAAATGCATTTCCTCTACCACTGAGAGGGTGAATTGTAACAGGAATCTTAAATGGTCTTATTAATAAAATCAAACCTGATGCCAGTTATTGGGGTGAATGCTGGAAGATCAGAGAACAGAACAAGCCACAGCTACCTCACCTTGCCAGTTCCTCAGACTGGAAGCCTCTGTGTCCTCATCTGAATGGGTTTCAGCTAAACTGTGCTGCTTAAAACCTAAATGCTTAACCAGCCAAATTCTTCTAGTTTCTGGTCCTCATGCCTTATCCACCTTTCTGCTTTCTGCCATCACTCCCTGGGATTAAAGGCTCACTTTCTGGGATTAAAGGCGTGAGTCACCGTGCTTGGCTGTATCCTTGAACACACAGAGATCCAAGTAGATCTCTGCCTCTGGAATGCTAGGATTAAAGGTGTGAGTGCCACCATTTTCTAGCCTCTGTATCTAGTGGCTGTTCTGTTCTTTGACCCCAGATAAGTTTATTAGGGTGCACAATATTTGGGGGAACACAATACCACCACACTGAATCTCTCATCAGAAATTATCAATGGCAACAATTCCAACAGCAGATAGTTCAGGACCTTCTTTAAATATGAAGCTATTAAGGACACATTCTCATATACAACAAAAGCTTCAACTACATCCAGTATGAATCTACTATTTACAAATATCTTCTAAAAGTTAGAATAAAACATAGTTCTTTGAGATTTTTAAATAATGTGTTTTAATCATGCTCACTTCTCTTGATTCAGATCCATTTTCCAGATACTACTACCATCCACCTTTGTGTCCTTTTAAACACAAAAACAAAAACAAAAGCATCCAGACCAAATATTATCAGATATGTGGGCTTTCACTGGAGCCTACTTAGCTTGTCAGGAGCTACACTCTTAGAGACGACTGACTCCTTTTCCCAGGAGCTCTCAATTGCCCACAGCTCCACCAGTAGGGGTAGGATTTCATGCCCAATGCCACTTTTCACGTTTGGTCTTGCTGGGGCGTGCACAGGTCTTGTGCATGCTGTCAAAACCATTGTGAGTTAAAATGTGCCACTGTCCTGTGTGTCCAGAAAACACTGTTTCCTTGTAGTCACACATCATGTCTGACTCTTAAATAATTTCTTTCTGCTCTTTGGCAAGGAAGCCCGAGCCATTGGGAGAAGAGAGCGTGTTCTTCAGGTTCTTATTTTCTTCCCCTTGACTTACTGTGGGTGTCAGTGTTCATCACTATGTACTGCACACAAACACTTCTCTGAAGAGAGTTGAGAAATGCATTGATCTACAGGTATAACAATAAGGTACCAAAAGTAAAGAAAAAAGAGGCACTCCAGGCAACTGATGAGTCCCAAGGTTACATTATGCACTGTTTTTTTTTCTTTTATATAATGAGACTTTTACTTGAGTCACTTAACCTTTGTTTCAACTCCTCATTATAAAATTAAAATGGTATTAGTAAAAGAGAAAAAGATCTTATAAATAGTACATGAATGGGGCGGTAGTCAAGCTGTCTATCCCTGTAGCTGCCTTGGAAAAGGCAAGTGCTGACCTGTTGGTTTTAAGTTGTAATAGTATGTGGACATCTATCAATGACTTTTAAATCACAAACTTTTTTGCTATATTTCTGATTCTGTACTGTTAAATGGATTAATGTGTGCATGGGTAATATCTGATATATGATTCCCATTATTACTTAAAGTGACGCAAATGAGAGTCTAGAGATAAGATATATGTAATAATTCATTGTGCAAACATTTGTAAACAGGCCACTGGCTTCAGTGTGTAATATTCAAATGTCTTTGAAAGCCAAACACACTTCTCATGATTTCCCCTCAGCACTGTGTATTAGTAGAAACTGAGAATGTGATGTATTCTAAATGTTTTTGGTGCAGAAGAATATGGTCTTTTTTTCTATCAGATATGAAAATGTGTTTCTGTCAGAGCTGTAGGAGTTTGGTGAAGCATTTGCTTAGCATGAGTTATAACACAAGGGAAAGATGGTCACGGAAGTGGGTGGACTGGTTAACAAATTGGCCTAGAGCAGCTTGCAAAAAGTCTGTGAAATACAAAAATGAACTGTAAAGAAATTGAACACAAACCAGGAAAAAAAAAAACAAATGAGAGAAGCAAAGGGATTATAAACACGGCAGTTTACTTTAGCAGAGATTTAAAAACCAAACCCAAAATAAGAGCTGAGTAAGCAGTCATTTACTAGGAAAAAATACTTCAAACCAATCAAACCCTCGGTAAGGACGTCAATCAATCTGAATTCATGACTGAACCAATGTGGGACTAACCCGGGGAAGCTCTCTCTGTCACTGTACTGAGAATGATCATCACAATCGCTTTAGCCCTTTGACGAAGTTTCTGGGTCTTCACCCAGGGGCGTCTCATGGTAAGTGCTGAGAATTTTTATTGTGGCCGCATTTTTTAGCAACAGTTAGATGATATTTGCAAAGTAAACGTTAATAAAAGCAAGAGCACAAAGAAGGCCCGTAAGAAGATCTGCTTGCTGTAGACCACTGGGGGAACAAGAGTCCAGCAATTATGCACATAGACAGTCCCCAGCGGAGCAACAGCGGGCTCCAGACTTTTCTTCATTCCAGTTTTATTGTGGTATCATTCCATAAAAATCAAGAAGCACCTGGACGTTGACTGGGGTGAATTATGATTTTCTCATTGACGTGAATGGGTTTGCGGAGATACATTGCCATCACAAGTTAGGGGACATTTATAATGGATTGTTCCCTTCCAGAGGCCTATTTATCACCGATAAACCAGTACATACTCCATGGTCAAGACAAAGAAAAGCTTGAGAGAATGGATAAATATATGGCAGAGACACATATTTACATATGTAAAGACATGGAAGAGACAAATAGGTTTTCTTTGGTTCATAAACTTCTGTTCAGTGCTTCTGAACAAACTCCTCCACCTCTTTCTACTTTTGTGTCGTGTGTTGGCATGTATGAACATACTTTGCAAGGGCTGTCTAAGCATTTTCAATTATCATGAACTTGCGATCTGACCCAGTGCAATGCTGTAGGGTTTCTGTAATTGCGGCGTCATGACCTCTGTGCGCAAGCCCTGGAGGAACTAGGTTTCAGTGCCTTCTTTGACTTATTTATTCCCTTCCCTTCCAGGTGAAAGTGTGGTTCCAGAACAGGAGAATGAAGTGGAAGCGGGTCAAAGGCGGACAGCAAGGGGCTGCAGCTCGAGAAAAGGAACTGGTGAATGTGAAAAAGGGAACGCTTCTCCCATCAGAGCTGTCGGGGATTGGTGCAGCGACCCTACAGCAGACAGGGGACTCACTAGCAAATGACGACAGTCGCGACAGCGACCACAGCTCAGAGCATGCACACTTGTGATACACACAGGGACCAGCTCCATTCTCAGGAAAGCGCCACTGTGACGGCAAGCCTTACCCAAACATCGTTTACATGGCAGATGACTGTGGCAGCGGTGCTTAGTATAATCAAATGCAGGCATCTCAAGTCTTGTCTCTCGCGGTTGATAGAAGGTTTACACTAAGTGCCTCTTATTGAAGATGCTTCCACAGTGAAATTGGAGAAGGGGAGCGTATTCCAAATACACTTGTTCCTATATGTGACAGAGAGGGAGATGAGTGTTTGCTTTGGGTTTCACTGAAAATTAAACTGCCACCAAGAGCAAACTCGATAAGAAGTTTCTTTTCAAGATGTCTCCAAGGCGAAGATGTTAAAAATGAAAATGCTTTAAACATTCCAGTTGTACCAGGTCATGCGTGTGACATTGGGCAGGTATTTGCTTTTGCTTGCACTGAAAAGTAAATTGCTATCAAGTTAACCCATGAAATAGTTTATCCTGAACAGCCACAGTGCCTGAAATCACCAAGTGGATGGAAAATGTATTCAAACTCTGTATATATTACCCCTAAATCATGTTCCTGTCTTCACTAATTTTAGCAAACGCATTCATATTAGCTGATGAATATAGGTTTTCCCATTGACAAGCACAGCCAAGCTTCCTGTACTTTTATACAGTTTTGTCAGTCAGAGACAGTCAGTCTGTGCTTACTTGTGTTCATGTAGAGAAAATGAAGCAGAGTCTGATAGGACATATTCTTGTACCACAGACAAAACAAATCTTCTGTTGCATTTACTATCAACTGCTGCTGATACATTATAGAACATACCTAGCCCCTCGAGTCTTCCTCTCTTATAGCTTGAAAAACCTTAGGATCATAGGCAGATCAGTTACCTTGCAGAAAGAGTGTTGCGTGGCAAATGTCTAACTTTATATCTTTAAATTGTTAGTGTTTATGGATGTGATTCATTTAACAGGGAAAAGGTTTTTTCCTCGTTGTTTAAGATATCAAACCAAGTGCCAAAGCTAATTCTTCAAGAGAATAGATGAAACATTCTGAATGTCTGAAAATTAGACTCAGCAAAAATACCTTATTTTTCATATGCTCTATATTCATGCAAAACAAGTCTTTGTATTTTGTAAAAAAAAAATTGAATAAATGATCCTTCAAATAATTATTGTCTCCCTACTGTGACTTCATTGACTTGAATAGATTTCTCTATTTATCTGAAACCAAGGCTGGTCTGGAACTCCATAGGTAGTTCAACCTTATCTTGTTCTCACAACAATCTTTTGCCTCACTCAGCCTCCCAGGTGCTGGAATTACAGGCTGGAACCACCATGACAAGCTAAATTTAATATATTTTAAAATATATATACTTAAAATGTTCCCTAATTTTTTGCTTCTATATAAATCTAAATGGATGTGAGCAATGAATCATTTATATTTCATAATTTCTGAAGTTTTTATTATGGCATAAAAAATTCATGGGTAACCAAAGAATTTCTAAGACCAGGCATATTCTAAACACAGTTTGGTAAATGAAATGGTAATATATTTCAACAGCTGTGGTTGAACTTCAAGAGTAATATATTTCAACACATATCTTTGTCTGATAATTTTATTTTATTCTTTTTTTTTTTTTTGTTTTGTTATTTAGTGTCAAACCCAAAGACTCAGCCATGCTACAGGTGTCCCCTATTATGGATCTACCTGTCCAGGCTGCAAACAGATATTTTACATTCCTAATATCCAACTTTTGGTGTGCAATACAAACTTAACAAGCTCAAGAGAATCCCCAGTTGCAATATTGCTGCTGGAAGAAACAGAAGAGGACTCACTGCACACTTTGTATCAAAGCCCAACTTATCACTATCACGGTGCTTTTGATTTACTCTTTGTTTCCCCAGCAGTTAGGGAATTACCAGTGTAGTTCTCCCCGCTCCACCCGCCTTCCCAATTATTTTGAAACAGTAAAAATTCCCAAAGCCATCATTGTGTGATTGATTTTATTTCCTTTAGAATAATTAAACTAATAAAAATGTATCCAATTTAATTTAACTTATCTTAATGTGATACCAGTAGTATTCAGGAAATAAAGTGAACAACTATGTTATTTGTATCACAGTTTTTCCTCTGTGCAATAATTTTAATTTCATTAAACAGCAGTATTTCTGAATTAACATTGATGAAGAGATCATTTCCATTGGCAGAGAACAGATATTATCTTATCATTCACTTGAATGAATATGAAGTATATTTGTATTGGTAAAATACGTAGGTGGGTTGAATACAATTCAAACTGAAACAGCTTTACAAATTGAGTATAAAGATACAAATCAAATTGAAGTCAATAGAGAAGGGTTGTGGGATAATTCTTTTGGGATAGGAAATAATTTCCAGAAGTAACAAAGGCTGCTTAGAAGTGACTAAAATTTGCTATGAGACAAAAGCATTTTTATATCAGAATTATAGCTTATTATGACCAGTAAAATCAAAGGAAATGATTCTCAATACACAAGACATTCAAAAATGAAATGAGGCAGGCGTAAAATGTATTGTACCTTTTAATGAGCAATCCTAATGAAACATTGATTCCAGAGAAGCAAACAGGTATGAAAGATCATGTGGCTGACCAAAACCACAATTTGTTGACATGGATTCAAATGACCCATTGGAGACACAAGTTCACAGTCAACACTCCAACAAGTGAACACATACAGTAACAGTATTACAAGCAGGCTTTTGGTTTTGTTTCTGCGCTGAGGATTGAGTTCAGTGCTGTCTATATGATAGACAAGCTCCCTAATACTGAGCTACATCACCATCCCTCAGAGTGATGGTAATTAGAACTTAGTACATTTTGTAGTATCTCGGTATTTACCTACATTCAAAGTGATACATAAACTATATAGGTTTCATTCTATTTTTAGAATTTAAATATTTTAGGACAATTAAAGTATCATTAACTGTCATCTAGGATATTCCATAATTGCTCACAATCAAGAGAAAAGCAATTATGTGTGTGTGTAGAGGGGGTTTCTTAATGATATGAAATCTTATTACACACTGCCTGTGTTGTCATGTAATATTCCTTCCGAGATACCATGGGACTGCATAAAAACACCGATCTCTGGAAATAGTATGTAAATATTATGCATAGTTATGGTGATTTCCCAGCAGGGGTCAGAGGAATAAAGGAATGAATACTACATATCTTTTTGCAAATCATCAACATGATTCTATTTTTTTTTTTTTTTTTTTTTTTTTTTTTTTTTTTTTTTTT